ACGCCCCCCCCCCCCTCTCTAGAAACCCCTCCATCCAAAGTGACCTTTGTGAACTCTCCGAACGACTTGTCCGTGTTGATTGAACTGCAAAACAGATCTTTACTTGTTTGGACATTGTGTTTGTGTGTGTGTGTGTGTGTGTGTTTGGTTTGGGTGAATGTAATGAGTATAATTGGACTAGGCCTAATTATAGGGAAACTGTGAAATCAATGTACTAACTACTATTGACATAAACCGTTCTTCGACAATGGAATAAACCGTTTTTTCTTCTGCAATTTACCAAAAAATTTGAATGATTTCATGGAATCAGAACGAAAGTTGCATGAAGTGAACTCATATATCATTAAAGCTATATTCATTCATTCAGCACATACAATTCCAGAATCCATCTATGATCTGCAGCAACTCATTAAAACAATCATTTATAGCTTCTATAAATGTAACCTCACGGTTCTGTTAACACCGATTCTAGGACTCATTCCCATCAAGCAACAAATATTGAAATGAAGTTGAACTACCAATGGCAATGCACACTTATGTAAAAATATTACTCTTCAAGTCAAGAAATCTACAGAGACAAAATGACAGTTATGACTTGAAACCTTCCATTAGATACATAAAATTGTATCTGCTCTAATTTATGGCATATATCACTAATTAATAAAATAAAGCCATCATAACGTAGGGGGACGAAGAGCGTGGGTTAAAAATCATGGTATACTAATAAGAATAAACCAACCAAGAAGAATTACAAGGCCTTACCACAGTCCAAAGAATAATGTATCAGTGGGAACTCCTTTTGCCATTGCTATAGTAACTAAGGTACCATCTCACAAATTTCTTCAGCCCTGTTTGGAGATCAGTTGAGGGCTTATACCCAAGCTCCCTCTCTGCAGAACTAATATTAGCATGGGTGTAAAGAACATCTCCGTTTCTCGGCATCTTCATCATTATCTTATTCGCCTTCACCTTCAGCAATCTCTCCAAGATCCTCACAAGCTCAGACACCGGAACAGGAGAGGTATTTCCAAGATTGAACACCCGCAGCTGCGCTGGACCGGTTTTCTTACCACCACTACCGGTACTCTTCTCGGAAGTATCCAATGCAGCCAAACAGCCCTTGACTATGTCATCAATGTAGGTGAAATCTCTAGCGACAGTCGAGTGATTAGGCCCTTCGAATACAAGAATTCTTTTTCCTTTCAGAATGTCTCTTGTGAAGAAGAAATAGGCCATGTCTGGTCTTCCCCAAGGTCCGTAAACAGTGAAAAACCTCAATCCAGTTAAAGAAAGCCCGAAGATATGGTTATAAGTGTGGGCGATTTCCTCCCCAGCCTTCTTAGTGGCAGCATAGAGACTTGCAGGCTGATCTGTCCTATCCTTCTCTGAAAAAGGAACCTTTTTGTTCAACCCATAGACAGAACTTGAAGATGCCCACACCACAGAAGGTTGAGGATTGGCATTCTTGCAAGCCTCAAGAAGGCTGACAAAGCCTGCGATGTTGCTATGGACGTACGAGCCAGGGTTCTTCATGGCGTATCGCACGCCTGCTTGCGCGGCCAAATGCATCACATGGGTGAACCGAACAATGCCGAAAAGCTTCTTCAAGAGCTTGTAGTCATTGATGTCTCCCTCAACTATGTAAACACCGGAGCGGTCTAGCAGATCCTGGCGGGCCCTTTTCAAGGACTGCTCGTAATAGTCATTGAAACTGTCAATCCCCAAAACGCCATCGCCACGTCGTTTGAGGGCAACAGAGACATGGGTCCCAACAAATCCGGCTGCACCTGTGACCAGAACGGTAATGCCGTTTCTTGAACTGGCCTTTGCAGAGGCTCTAACTCTCTTCTCCCAAGCTGGGCCCCCATTGAAGCTGGTTCTGAGAGACCTCCTGTAAAGATCGGATTTTGCAGGGGCAGAAGTAGCAGTAGAAGAAGGGTCTCTGAAGAAGACATAGATCAGAGCCAAGAACACAAAGGACCAAAAAGTGAGCTTGGCAATGGAGGAATGGAGTCTAACCCTGCTGTAATGAGACTTCTCCTTCAACTTCCCAGGGGAGGACGACGACACATCGTCAATGTGCTTCATTTGGGACAGTACCCTTCGTAAATCTTGGGAGATTCAAGCGATACCCAGTGCGGATTTCTCCTGCGCCGAGGAGAATCGGGAAATTTCTGGCCAAGATTTTCTCGTGGAAGACGATGGCTAGGGTTAGGGTTGGGGGAGAAAAGGTGCAATCTTTATTCTCAATCGATCACGGGGTTTCCGTATAAGACCTGCAACGAGGATAGAAGTGCAGCGAGGATAGGACTGTGAAAGAGAAGTTGAAATTGCAGAGCTTTCGGTGCCTTTATTCGCGGGATTCCTTGCGGCTTCTCAGAGGAGATAAGGGGAAAATGGAAGAAAAGAATGAATGAATGAATTGTGACTTTGTGAGTGGTGGCGGGTGGGGGAGGGTAGTTGAAATTGGGCTATTTCTTATTTTTCGTTCGTCCAAAAAAAAAAAATAACATTGTTAAAATTTACATACGAGGGTAATGTTTAATTAAAATGACTAAATTCTTGAAACAGTAATGCTAGAGTCACAAATATACAATTTACAAAATTTATAAAATTGTCTTTTTAACACTTTTCTAGAAATAAGATGCACTCAATTAATAAAAGATATTTTAATTTAAAATTTACAAAAGGTAAATTTGTGAAATTTGTGAACTACATGTTTGTTTCTCGAAATGATCCTCTCTATGTTTTTTTAAATTAATTCTCGATAACTTTTAATTACCTAAAATGATTAAATTCCCTAAATGGGAATTTGGGTGTGTAATCAACTAACACCACTTATTTCATTTCTTTTAATAAATGAAATTTTACTTTGGAACAGCCCTAAAAAAAGGGGAAATTTAATTTGGGAAAGTAGGCCCATGTTCTGAACATAATAATAAGATTATACATTTTAAGTCCATCTTTTTTTTTCAAACAGAAAATATTTTGTGGGACGAATAAAGTATTTTGTGGGCCATTATTGATATTAATAGGTAACAACTTATATTCATTTGAGAACAAAGTTTAGACTCGCTCCAAAAAATCATCTCTAATAACTCATTTGACATTTCGTATTAGGGGTGGGCGTGAAATCCGTTCCCGTTGGACCATCCCGAAAAATCCCGGATCCGTTTTGTAATTGTACCGATATATTGGCACACATTTTTTTGTCCCGAACCCGTTCCGTCCCAATATCAAATGGGACATGAGCGAGACAACTTAAATTTATACCGATCCGTCCCGTTTGTCCCGTTTCAGCTACTCTACTAATATATAATACTAATTCTAGTCCAAAATTCAAATACACTCATTCTTTAATTAATTAGTTATTTAATTAAATTAACTTCATGAGCTTGAAATTTATTTGAACCCGTTCCAGTCATTATTTTTTGTTGGATGACTAGATGTTTCTTTTTTTTTGAATGAAATGTCACCCACTTCCCCTTCTTATATTTGCGATTAGGACAAAGTAGGACGACCCGAATCCGTCCCGTTTTATTCCGATCCCGAATTTTATGGGACAAACCGGGATTAGATTGTGATCCGAACCGTTCCGGACCGTTTATATATAACGGGACAAGACGTCGGACGACCTAAAATCGGACCGTCCCGATCCGCGCCCGCCCCTATTTCGTATTATCTTCTCAAGAATCTTGAAAATGAGATTTGAAAAATATGAGCAACTAATCTAAATAGAGAAAGTGCTATGTGTAACAGAGCTGAATTGGACAAGAAAAAAGAAAATCCATTGACACATTTTAAATTAATTAGCTTTGTAAATCAGATTTCTACCCTCTTAACATGTGAGAGCATCAAAACATAACCATGTTATATGCCCCCATTTTTTCTTCCTTTTTTCTTCATTCAACTAAATAAAAACTTGTTTTAACTTTGACCAACTTTCACCTCATCATGAAAAAACTTTCACTTCTTCTCTCTCTATCTTCTCTAATTAATCTTACACTATTCTTATAGTACCAATTGTATATTTTTCTGGAAATGGTTTAACTTAAAATCAAAAATAATTGAGGCCCCGTTTGGTACACAGAATTCAAACTATGGAATTGGAATTGAGGACTTCAATTCCAATTTTCATGTTTGGTAGCACAAAAATTATGTGAATTTGGAATTGGTAGTGCAAAAA